GTTTTGAACAGGCTTTTCTGCATGATCTGTATCACAGTGATCTCAGCAGGGTGTCTTTGTTTTCAGATGCTGAAATGGCATGGGATTTATTTCATTCAAATTTAATTTCCATTGTAAATAAACATGTACCAATCAAAAGGTTTAGGATCAGTGGTAAGGACAACCCTTGGTTCTCAGACAGCCTATCAGAGCTAATCTGTTTGAGAAATAAAATGTGGGCACAAGCTAGATTCTCCAACTCTTCTGCTGATTGGACTGCATTTAGAATTGTAAGAAACAAGTGTACTTTGATTAGAAAGTCCAAATCTGAGTTTTATTTGAAGTCAATCACAGAAAACTTAAACAACCCTTTAAAGTTTTGGAAATCAGTTAAATCTTTGTCAAGTGCACGTGTCACCTCAAACCTCCCTGAACAGATTCTCATTGGTTCAGATGAAATAAAAGACAAAGCAGCTATAGTCAATCAGTATAATAAACACTTTATTCAGGCTGGATTCATATTTGATCAAACCGTAAATAAATCTGTCCCATGTCAGCATCTGAAAATGTAAATCGGGAACACTTTAATTTTAAACCGATTTCAGTGTCAGAAGTTCATAAAGCCCTCAGACATTGATCACAAAAAGTCTGCAGGTCCAGATAATCTGGATCCCTTTCTGTTAAAAGTGTCAGCTGATATTATTGCTGAGCCTGTAGTGCACATTTTTATTCCCAAAAGTCCTCCCTTTACATAAAGGTGGAGACCCATCAAAACTGAATAATTACCGTCCAATATCAAAACTCTCTGTTCTGTCAAAGATCTTGGAATCACTTGTGAATGTACAGTTAAAACAGTATTTAGCTGACAAAAACATTTTAAATAATTTTCAGTCAGGGTTCAGAAGTGGCCATAGCACTATCACTGCTGCTACATTAGTGACAAATGAGATGTTGACACTTTTAGGACATTATCTTGCATTAGCAAGAGGAAAGGTCATACTGTGCATGTGTGTACTTCAAGTAAATGTACATCTCACAAGGTTGCTTATATAATCTGCAAGCCTTTGGGCCTTTCCTACAGTCCAGTTTCATATAGTCTTGACTCTCAATGCACACAATGAATGTTGACTTAGAAAGCAAAAGCAGAATCTCGGACATTTTGGGCAATTTTGAAATCTCAGCCGGACGCATTTTTTGGGTCCCAAAAGAGGATGTTGGCAAAAAAGACTTATGGTCACCCTAGCTAATGCTAATGTCAACATGCTACCATGCTCACAATGACACTGCTAACAGTTCGGTTCAGTTCTTCAGTGCTTTTTGCATGAATGATTAAGTAATGTTGCCAGTGCTTACATCAAGCTTACAGCAATTGACTGGGATCCAAGCCAGTCCTGAAAAATGGAACATTTGACATTTTCAGAGGAGAAGAACAGATGCAGATGATTTAAGAGATTAAAGTGATGAAAGAATTGGACTTTGAGATAATTACAGAAACGCAAACTTGATTTTTACAGCATCTCCTTGAGATCAGAGAGTGCCATCTTATGCATCAACTGAGTAGTGACCCTGATCGTGCAAACTGAATTTTGTATGAATCCATGCAGTGAATTACGAGGTATGAAATCTTTGCAAGTGCCCCCTAGTGGAAGAACATCCCAGGAGCATGGACTGAGCACCTGAACAGATGCGTCAAGTTTGGTTACAATAGCCTGAGCCAATTTTGATTTACGAGCATTTATATAAAATTGTACATAAAGACACAAAAGTAAAAATGTATGAAAAAACACAAACAGATTCAAGTATCAGAATTCTTTTGATCAGCGACGTCCGTAGATAATCCTGACAAAGTTTTGGGTTGATTGGTGAAACCATCTGGGACGTGATAAAAAGTCGCATAATTTGACATTTAGAGCAGAAGACCATTGGAACAAAGATGCAGATGAATCCAGAGATTAAAATGATGAAAGAAGTTTGACTCTAAATGAAGCCGTTTAGATAATTGATAAAAGTTGATTGTTATAGCGCCACCATGAGGTCTATGTGGCATTTTAGCCTGAGTAGTGGGTGGAATATGTAACCCAATGCCACTTCAGTGAGGTTTTGTGCAGCAGTTTTGCTGCCCAAACACATTTAGCAGAGAAAAAGAAGAAAGAAAGAAGATGAATGACGACAAAATCTATAGGGCTAAATAATATGAAACAACAAGAATTAAAGCAATCATGAACATTCAATTTAGCAGTTATAAGTTACAACAAAAAATAACAAATACAGATAGAATGTAAAACATGAGCATGCTAACAGGCTATTGGACTAATTTTAATTTTGACCATAAGATGGTGTTAACTGAAAGTCAGGAAAGGACACTATTCAATTCAAATTAGCTTTATTGGCATAAATGTGTAACAACAATATTGCCAAAGCATCATACAAACTACCTGAGAACAATCAACCCCATACATTTCATTAAACAAGTAATTAAAGCGTAAAGTTATTAAAGCGTATGTGTGTTTGTTAGAAATATTAAAATATATGAAAAATTAAATAAAATAAAGAAAGAAAACAGTAAGCGTGTGTGTGTGTGTGTGTGTGTGTGTTAAAAAAAAAAATTAGGTATAGGATAAGCGGTTGACGATGGATGGAAACAGTAAGTGTGTGTATATATTAAAGAGATGGTAAGCGATTCTGCAGAAAGATTGTTAATATTTAAACTCAATTGCCGAACAAATACACACCATAAGTGATAAGCGTGACAACAAGCCTGTCAATATTTAAATATGTATTGAAGCAAAATACTTTTCTAAGACAAAGTCAAAGCCATGGAGTCTAATTTATGTATCGGTAGGATTACTGTGATTTACTTCAACAGTAACAAATAATAAGCAAACAACATAGTTATCTGAAATTGTTTTTACAAAAATACAGTGACAATACATTTGTATCAAACGCAAAGGACTGAATGCTTCCATTAATATTACACTACCTGGTATAGCATTTCATATTATGAATCAACCCAAATAATCCCACTGTCCAAGCAAAACTTGTATTTTCACCGTTATATAACTTTAGAGCAGACAAACACACAGCAAGTAATGTCACTACTCTTACCAGGGTTGTGGTTAGCAAAATGTCACTACTGCTGCAGCAAAGCTAATAAAGCTAACCAATTGACAACAAAACAAATGGACAAGACAGTACTGACCTTTTGTTTGTATGAAACAGAAAGGCTAATGTTACTCACCTGTCGAGCAGAAACAGAGTAACCTCTGTGTAGGTTTTCATCCCTTTCAAATCTCTGAGGATTCTTTAGCATTGAAATGCCCAATCTCCACCCTTGCCTGGTCATATAACTTGTTTCACAGTTTGGACTCTTCAGACCTTTTCTGCTTTTCTCAGCCATCTCTCTTCTGGACAGTGCCTAGAGTCCAGCATGTTTGAATGTACCGATGTATAAAACTTTCTCTCTCCTGCTGTTCCCGTGCACGAACGATACCGCCACTTGTTGCTTAGTGCGGGGAAGGTCCAGACTACTTTATTTATGTTCCATTTATAGACAATGGGCTGTGTAGGGAAACCAATTTTTTTTTTCAGAAGCCACACAAAACATAGAGCTAGCTAGTAAGTAAATAATCACTGAATTTAAAAAGTTTATTGGATTACAATCGCTCACTGTCCTTTTATTGTTTACCTTCTGGTCTGACAGAGTGAGAATTGAAAGAGATTTATTAAATTATCTGACCACAATGTCTGTCGCAAACGTCTTTCATCAGCAACGTTGCTATTCATCATAATCAGTACTTTGGTAGTGCATTAGAAGTCCTCCGTTTATTGTTAATTAACAGGAAAAACGTCCAGGGCCAATCAGGCAATCAAAGAATTAATTATCATTCAGTGAAATCTTGAATTATGTCTTTGTCAGTTATTCTTTTACATCTTGTCCCAGTTACTGTCTATTGTTCATTTCCACACTTGCATCCTAATCCGCTCAAAATAGACTCTTTTTGATTAAATGATAAACACCTGCTCTTTATGTAAAAAAATAAAGCCATGTCATTATTTTGTGCTGGTTCACTGTGAGGCCAAATATGTAAACACTTCTTCACGCTCCTGCTGCACTGTAAGCCCAAATCACCCTCTTTTTGTATCCCTCCTCTCTGTCAGTCTCTTTCCATCCTTTTCGTTCTCCCTCATTGTCTTTGTGTCTCCTAGGTTTTACCTATTAGACATTATTCAGCATGGTGGCTGACAAAGACCTGCCTGCTGCATGCTGATACAGCCACAGAGCAATGTTCCAGCCTCTCCTCTCTCATGCCACACCATCACACATACACACTCACAATAAATTCTCTTTTATATGTAGAGCACTATGTGTGTGTGTAGAAACTGAAAATGGCAGAAAGAAGCAAACAACTAAATCATTTCCTTTTCTTGGCCAGAGAACAAAGGAGTGAAGGAGTTTCATCATACAATGGAGCAAACACCCAGATTTTGATTTGTCAAAAGGAGTGCATTTGGAGA